GTGCATCTGACCAACCAATTCTTCAATCGCGGCGATTCTTTTCTCTTTGTTTTCGTTAGTGTTTGCAACTGCGCCTCGTGGAGTTTCCCTTTTGAAACTTAAAACAGGAAGAGTTCTGTCCTCATCTATACCAGTTTTTCCTTTCATGAAGTTTCTAATCGCGCTTATTGAAGGAATCATTTTGTCGATTGTATCCAATGCTTCTTGTGATATTTGAGTTGGAGAATTGTTATTATACCCAAGTTCAAATTGTTCTTGTGTAATTTCTGTGATTTCTTCGACTGTTGTAACATTGGCATTTGCCAACACTTTTTGGATGTTTGATCGGATACAATTGACGGAAGATGTTGAGTCTTTTTCAATCAATTTCTTTACCAAATGCTGAAAAGGAATTACTCTGCTTTTTTTCTTGTAATGGTCTTTTGGTAAAATTGAATTACCATTTCTTAATTTGACTAACATATTTTTGACAGCCTTGATTTTAATACCAAGTTCTCCACTATAAAACACATCGTCTTTAGTGTCCCCATAAACTCTGAAAAGTTTAATCATATCAAATTTGTTTTGTATTGTTACTTTGTGATAGGGTCTTTTGGCTTGGTTTATTGATTCTGACCGAGTTTTGGGTCTTCCCCTTTTTCTTTTAATAGCTCGGGGAAGAATGAAAGGTGTTTTAGATTCAACCTGGCGCTGTTGTTCATTCCATTGGATAAGTGGTGGATTATCTATAAAATCGTTCCTAGCTATTGGGTCTCTGGCGTCGATGAATGTTAAAGACTGAGACATTTAAATCAATTATTAAGATTGATCTCAAAATAATGAAAATCCTTTTTCAACCAACTCGATATTTGATTTGTACATCTACTTTTGAAACACGTTTATGATATTTTAAATTGTTTGTTTTTTATGTGTAAAATCGGGAAATTTCGGAAATAAATTATATTTTATTAAAAAATCCATCCTTTTTGTTAAAAATGTTATCCTTTTTCAAAAAAATGGCTGTCACATTTTCTTTAAATCCATCCTTTTAACAAAAATTCCATCCTTTTTATAATAAATTCCTGTCCTTTTTCATGAAAATCATCATTTCTTTCGAAATTCGTCCTTTTTATCAAAAATCCTGTCCTTTTCAATAAAAATACCTGTCCTTTTTAAAACAATTCTCCATCACTTTTTATGATTTTCATCCTTTTTATTAAAAATCTTGTCCTTTTAAAATAAAACCTGTCATTTTTAAACTATTTTCCCATCATTTTCAGACGTATTTTCACTGTAAAAATTTTATAATTATTCACTCACAAAACAAAATTAAAAAAAAATTCACATTAAAATTTAAAATAAAATATAATATTTTAATAAAAAACAATACCATATACAATAAAAAGATAATTAATTTTATATAATTGGTCGAATTTAAAATTTGTAAATAACATGAAAAAATAAAAATTAAAAATTTAAAACTTACAACTTAAGTATTGAATGAGTGTTCGTGTTTTATTCATTTTCACAGCTCTTTTCTTTTTTAAGTGTTTCTCAAAAAACATACATATCAGTTTAACAGGTAATATCAACAGTCTTGTATCAGCTTGTTCTTTAGCTCTTCCTGGTGATACTATTATATTTTCAAGTGGAATATATCCACCCCAAGAAATCCCCAGTGGTACTTCAGGCACGCCAACCAATCCAATTTTGATCAGACCTGCTCTTAATGGTAAAGTTGTTTTTAACACACAAACAGGTGCATCATCTGTATTTTATATTTTGAATGCTTCCAATATTAAAGTGAATGGTCCATTTGTTGCAAGTGGAGCGTCTCAATTTAGTGTCAAAGTGATTAATAGCACCAATGTAACTCTTTCTAATTTTAAGATATATAATTCCACGCAATGGGCTATTTTTGCAACAGGTACAAATATCACAATTTCTCATAATTATGCAAATGGGTGTGTTTTAGAACATGAAATGTGTAAATCGTCATCGTGGATGCAGTGCTTTGGAACGGGTCCAATCACTTATAATGGACCAATTTTGTCGTCTCTAATAACATTTGATGCAAATGAGATAACCAATTCGTGGGGGGAAGGAATTGACATCATTTTTTGCACGAACTGTGTTGTTAAAAATAATTATTTATATGACATTTTTCCAATTTTAGTTTATGTTGATAATGCTAAAAACGTTGTAATAGAAAATAACACGTTGAAATTCTCACATGGAAAATTGTGTGACAATTCCACTGAACATCACGCAATAGCTATTGGAAACGAGGCTTGGCCGCCTAACTACATTTCTACTGTTAATATTTCAATAAGAAATAACTTTATTTGGGGAGCACTTTTTGGTGTTGCATATTGGGGATGGAGCGATGCTGCATATTACAGTGATATTACAATCGCTCACAACACATTTTTTAATATGGAGTCTGCAGCTCTTGCCTTTCAAGAAAAGTGTGTTGTTAGTGGTAAAAGTCGAAATAATCAGTTTAAAAACAATTTTATTCACTCAACGTATGTGTGGTATGCGGCTGTTATTAATGAGAACGAAATTGGAAGTTGGAATATATCAGATAACATATATTATAGTGGATATAATAAAATATTAAAAGATACGTGGAATGGAAGTGATGGATTGAAACATTCTTTGTATTTAAAACAAAATGAAAGTTCAACTGAATTATTATGGAATAAAGGGTTATACAACAATTGCACGAATGAAAGTTACTTTGAATGGACTGTACCAAGTTATTGTTTTGTACCACATGATAAGTCTATGTTGTATCATCGAGGTGTTAATGTGATTTACACAGATCTGGATGGTAATAACGAAAAAGATTACTTGGGTTGTATAAGAAACAAAGTCGTGCCAAGCATTGGATTTGCCGAAGGACAATTTGAATGTGTAATGAATCGAGATGACTACATTAGTTTAGTTGTCATTGTATTCATTATAGTCACAATTTAAATAAAGCATTTTTATGTTTTATCCAAATAAATTAGTTATAATTGTTTACCATGACAAAACACAATACATTATTTACACTTTTTATTTTTAGTATATTATATTTATTAATATCTTTATATTATTTTTTTCCAATCCAGAATTAGTTCAATTCTATCTAAAATATATAATACAATTATCACGTTATATATTTAAGTAGGGGAATTGTTAATTGTTTCGTTAAAAAAATATATTTTAATACATAACATTATATACCAATTATATTGAATGTATTAATAGTTCAACTTATATTAAGTAAAACATGATATCCTGATGCTATTTTTGATAATCCATTTTCAAAATCATTATTTGATTTTAAAAACTGTGATTGACAATACTCAAAGCATTTTAGTTGAATTCATAACAACATTTTAAAATTGTTTTTTGTCAATAAATTCGGAATTGATTGTGTAAATTTTAGTTTTTATTTTGGTTTATAAATCATAAAAAACAAATCTTTTTATGGTTTATCAAATATCTACTTGAGTTTTTTATTTATTCTATTTTTTAAATCACAAAACAATATTTTTACCCCAACATATAACAATTCGAAAAATAATAAAAAACAAATTTCAAGTTTGAAGATTTATTGAATTAAAAAATTTAATACACATAAAACATGCTTTTTATAGTTATGGCATATGGAAATGTTGGAACTTCAAGTTGAATATTCCTATAATTTTCTTAACCCAAAATACTACGATTATATAAAATTATAAATCAAAAAGTTTAACATTTTAAAGTTAAAATCCCAATAATATTCCTTTTGAATTGTGGTTGATGTAAACTTTGTTTTTAATGGTATCAAATCTACAATTGAATGGGGAATTTAAAAAATGAACACCGAAATATTAACATTGTTTGATATTATACTCATTTAAAAAGAAAAAGAAAAACAATATAAAATCAAATGTCTCAGGTCCACAAGAGATGTCTTGAACGTCGTAACATGATTACATGTCTAGAGTGTTGTCTTATTGGCTTACTTTCTCACAAATGTTCTCTACACATATCAAAACCAAAAAAGAAAACGTTCTTCACTCTTCAATTTATGAAAGTCACTAAAATTGTTTTTAATGATGTAGAAGAGTGGTGCTTTAATGTAGAAGCGGTAGTAGATCAACGTCGCAAAGAAATGGAGAATACGTATCTTAAAAAGGGTGTACCTCAAAGCACAGCATTCAGAAAATCAATGGACAAAAAGAAGAGAGAGTTGATGCACCTTTTGGAGGACTTTTTATATGAAGAGGGGTTTGATATCCGTTACAGTTGTGAAAACCGAGAAGGTATTTTTGGGTTTGTAAGTATTTCTAAAAATGGATATGTGATGGACAAAGAGGATATATGTAAAATGGGAGAAACAATTTGGAATTGTATTAAAGGTAAAATGAAAAACAAAGGTGTTGTCATTAAAGTTGGTGAATTAGATGAGATTATGGATATTAAAATGCGTTGTATGCTTGAATTGTAATTTTTTAATTCGTTGATATAATGTTTTTATCATTTTTTTAATGGTCATAATATTCGTTGAAATTTCTTTTGTTTTTTAAACCAGTTATTTTAAGTAAAAGACACAAAAGTTGTTGTTTTTGAATGGTGTATTATATATAATTGTTAAATAATATGTATTATATTGTTTGTAAAACAACTTATTTAATATGGCTATTTTGCCTAATGCAATACTTATTGAAATTAATAATTAAGATATATTATTTGATTGTAAAATATTATTTGATTAAAAAGACCAAAACAATATTTTTAATTATTACACTTTTTTATATTAAAAAGTTAGTTTTAAGCATGTCTATTTAAAATAGATATTTATGAATACCTCTATGATTGTATTCTTTTGTTGTGATATCAAAATTGTTTGTTTTATAACCATAACCATTTAAAAATCAATTAAGAATTGTAATACTGAAGGAACTAATTTAAATAATTATTTTTATTAACTCACTTTTTCATAATTTAAAACAAAAAATATCAATATTTGAACATTATCTCAGTGATAGTTGTAATAATTAAAAAAACTTAATAAATGTATTGATACAAAGACTGTTTAAAACCAAATTAATTATGTCTATAACTATTAAATATTTAGTGATACGAATAAAAACACCAAAACCACGATTTAGTAAAATGAACATGATCACAACCAATTGATTCAATTGTAAATGATATCTTAATTGTTCAATATAGATTTTATATTTTAATTGATATGGATATCGAAATATATTCTATATTGAATGAACAAAAATGTTTTTTTTATTATTATCCAACAATAATTATAAACTATATAATAGAACTTGTTATATTATATTAATAGAAATTGGTTTAAAAAATATCAAAATTTTTGGGCACACAACGTGATCACACAAAAGCATTAAAAAACAAACAGAATGCGATATATTTGAGGTTTTAATATAATGTTTGGGACTTGTATTATTATTCCTGATAATTGAGAATAACCATAACTTGAGCACCTTTAAAACAATATAAACATAAAACTAAAAAATATTGATAAAAACCACGTGTTATAACAATGAACAGTTTTTCATAGATACAGTTCAATCACAAAACACGACTTTAATAAATAACTTACCAATTGTTATGGACAGTATCAAAAGACTTTTATGACAAATTGACAAAATTATCAAAATGTTTTTGATGTCAGTAACTTTGATAATATTACTGAATGATGTTCTATTATCAAATAAAAACTTTCTTTATTATAAACGATTTAATTATGTCAACGATTTTCTAAACATCTGCTGTTTATTTTCTTGTTTATATATTAAAATTTATAAAAACAACATAATTAAAAATATAAAAACATCGGGACTTACCTTTTACACCCACACCCCGCTATAAATACATATTTTTTATATAAAAATAAAACATTTTTTGTATTTTTTGTTTTTTGAGTCTTGAAAAAATAGGGTTTTTCTTTTTCTCATTTACATCTAATAAAATAAAACAAATAAAAAGTTTTATATAAAACGTCATTTTTATTTTTTTTGTTTTTTTTTGTCGCATGTTTTGGCGCAAAGTGAACGTTTTGATTTATATTTAACTTTAAAACACCAAATTATATAATAATTAAATAAACCACACTTTTAATATTAACAAATCTTAAACTCTTAATTACTAAATGGAAGAACACTCAACCAAAATCCAAGTACTTTTTACCTTCGATGTAAAAACCAAAGAAGGCAATCCTTATTTGGTTAAGGAAGGGATTGAAACCCCAGACAACATCATCGATTCAATAGCCAATGCGTTTATTTCCTACAACTTCAAAACCCAATCAAAAACAATGGCAGAGGCTTCAGCTATCTCTGTTGCTAACCAGACATTTTCTCTTTTTGTTACTAAAAACAGCGATTCACAAAAACTCAAACAGACATTCCGTTGTGTTTACCAGAAATGTTATTTCATATATGATAAGAGTGGTCTTCGATGGTGTTAGGAAGTTTGTTTTTATGTTTATGGTTATTATTACATTAAAATGTTATTTGTTTTTAATAGACAACATAGATGTATTGTTTTTATTGTTAATAAAGTTATAATAAATTTATAATATTTCAATAAGTTTTCAAAAATAATACTTAGTACTTCATACTTTTTAAAATTTCATTGAAGAAAATGTAGTATATTGGTTATATTATTCTGAATCAACAATTTTTAATAACAAGTTATAATGTCACTAAACAAAATACACGAAATGCTTTAATGTAAATAGTAATGTTCAAAAATGAAAAGTTGGTTTACTCTAAAATTGAATAGTTAATATTTTGTATGACTACTCGCAACAAGGTGCCATGAATTATACATTGTTGCCTTCGAATAATATATCGTTGTATTTCTAATAATATACAACCATTAAAAACACGACATAATATATTTAGTAATCAAGTGTTGTGAAGTACAATATTTTAGCGTGTATGTTGTATATGAAAATGCAAATTGTGTTGGTGGCAACATTTTTGTATCTTCTTTGAGTGTTCGTTCGGTTTGGGATACATAAAATACCTTATTGTGGTTGTATTTGTTGGTAAACACATAAGTCATGTAAATGTATTTTTGTAAATACTGCTCGTCTGACCCCCTTTTCTATATGTTGATGACTTAGAGTGCTCGAGGCGCACAAATGGTGTTGTTGTGAAATGTTTCGGTGATGGCTCCTTCAACAAAGACAAGTCACTCAATTGTAAAAAGGCACATCACTTATGATATAATATTTTCAACGTTGAGTTCAACAATATGTTAAATTTTTAAAGTGACATTTCCGGTTTATCTGCGAAATGATATTTAAATATGTGTTGTATTTGATGCAAAAATCAATCATTGCACTAGAATAGCTGTTCTTAGTAGTGTTTAAAACACCACAAATTGAAATCACGTTGATACCTTACATATAGCTGATCTTCAAACTTCAGAGACAAATTCTGACATACTTATTTATTAGTTTGAAAGTCTATACTCAATTCTAAAGTTAAATTTTATTAAAACGGAAAATGTCAAAATACACGGAACGCCCATACACTCATCAAACAATTTGACTGAAAAAGTTTTCCAGAAGTCACTATCAAACAAGGTGTTACATTGACTTACTCGGAATTGACACCAATAAAATCACAACTGAGTGTTTTCAAAGTATTTGGAAATGATAAAGCATTGATTGGAAATACCCTTTTTATCACTGTCACTGATTTAATATTTGAACAGTTATCATCAACAAATTCAATCATCAATGTGAATAAATTCAACTTGGAAGGTCTTAATATCAAATTTCCAGTAAAAACCACAACTACACACATTCCACCCATTAACACGTTACTGCCAATGAGTGGTGCATCTCTTCCTACAGATACTTTACTTGTATCTAATTTCAAAACATTGATTAACAAATCAACATCGACATCTGTTTTCAATGCCCAATGATGTACTTTGCACAGTTACTGACACGGAAAATTGCCATAGAAAAGACATCAGTACAGAGTATAAACAGAGATATAACATTGAAATTTCAACCGCTGTGAATAGTGTGGTCATATATGAAAACAATGCAGAGATAACAAAGGAATATGATATTGTTAATGTAAAACAGGACGGTGTGACAATTTTAAATAATGAAATAAGGCATTTATACATTGAACATACACATGAGTGGAGTTAAAGTGATGTGTATTGGTGATGATGCAGATAGTAAAAAGTGTAAAATTGTTGTCAATAATTATGTTGATACAAATCAAATCAATTTACTTGGAAAGAACATCATTTTGGAGGAAGACCTCAATATTGATAATGTAATATCCTATGTCAAAATAACAAGAGACGTTTCTTTGAGTACATTTGAAGCAACACAAATGTACATTGAAATAGTTGAGAAGGGCATCTTAGAAGTGGAACAATATGCATCTTTTGGATCACTTTTGCTTGTAAAAATCACACATTTATGCATTTGAATCATTCGGTACTTCACTCTTACAATACATGGGTGGTGAAATTGTATTTGATGCATCAGACAATCAGGCTGTTTTGAACGTAAACAGGTTTGAAGTGAACACCACATTTGTACAATCGGCAAAGGATCAATGCATCACTCCGATTATCAGAAAGGCATTCACAAATGGTGAACCTATGAACATAGACGCTGTTCCAGAACTTGTGTGGAAAGGTTCTGTAACATTCACAGAACAGGGACAATTGTGTATTACGACTGTGGGTTTTCAAAACTCGAACACGTCAAGCACTCGTGTCGAGTCCGAGACAACACCAACAAAGTTGCCACGCATCGTATACAACAGTGATGAGTCGTTGTTGTCATGGATGTTTGTTGAAATGCGAGATACACCGGGAGTGTAGTACTCATTGAACCAGTTAAATCCGCATAGTGTGCACTTCGGCATGATCTGGATCTTCCCTGGAAAGAATTTGTGCGCCTTCTCAACAAGTGTCTTGTAAAACTCAGTCTGTGTATTGATTAACTAGCTAATACTTGTAGAGAGGCATATCACAAGTGATACGCCTCTTTAAGTGTCGGGTTTTACAAAATGTTGTACTTTTATTGTGACACTTCAAGTTTCACTGCGAAATGTCTTCTAAATACGTGTTGTATCCGTTGCAAAAAATCAATCATCACACCAGACTAGTTGTTTTTATAAGTTTTCAAGACGCTTTAAATTGAAACCATGTAGATACAGCTCACAAACTCTCTAATCAATGCTCATTGACATTTTTTTAACATTCTTATTTATAACAAACAAACAATTAATAAATAAATTATTATTAAATAAATAAAAAAAGTAATTTCTAATTCAAAAAACAGTTTCTCGAATTATGACCACTTTGACCGCACTTTTTACAGTGGTACACTCTTTTGACCGAAGCGTTTGGTTCAACTTTATTCAAACCCTGACCAAAAACAGGTGGTTTCGGTGGAACTACTCTTCCTGGATGCGTCACCAT